TCAGTCATACCGCCACAGATCTTAACCCGGGCCTTGGAGCCAGACATAGTCATTTTGACCAGTCGTATCATCTTTGGATGTATCTCTTGTTCAGCCATGATTTTATAGAGTCCTTCTCTACTTATGCTATCATATGCCGTTCGAAAATCAATAAATAGATGATAAAGATTGAGATCAAATTCCCAAAATTTTTTGACTATACCTTTCACCGTATAGATTTGATCTATTGTCGACCTTCCAGCGCGGAAGCCTGATTGGTATTCCCCTATAATTTTATTATAATCTACCTCCAGTCTTTTCCGCAGTAAATGGGTAAATATTTTGTAGACCGTACATAATAGAGTTATACCTCTATAGTTCTGGCAATTCAACCTGTCCCCTTTTTTTATATATTGGACATATCAATCCGATTTTCCATTCTTCGGGTATTTGCTCTTTTTGCCATATCCTTATATGAAAGAGGTGGGACAATTTACTGAAACACTGTAATCAGAACTATAGATCAAATTTGAACTTCTTATATATTCTATCTGTTTACAGGCAGAATGTGGGCACATCAAGCAGCTTCTTAAAACATTACGCACAGCCAACAAAAGTGCACAATGCAGTTCATACCAAACATAAACAGGACTCCCAATATAATTCCATGTCCGAAGATTTATCGCCCTGATGACGGAGGCAGTATGACCTCTGAAACGTTCGTAAACATCGACCAGACTACATAGCGCAACAACCCAGAAGACAGAAATCTTCATACTCATCGCTGTGAAAACCTCATATCTTACAATTCCATGTCTGTTTGTAGTTAAAGCTGGAATGATGTGTGTATTTCCATGTTACATCCTACATAATGCAATAACAGATACAATTTGGACTGACACAAATAATGAGATTTAAATGCAAAGAACTGATATTCATACTACTTTTAGTTATTATGTTGTCTATTGTGCAGTTGTCTTGAAATTGATTGAGCAATATTTTCTGAGCAACAGATTTTCAATATCAGGAAATAATAAATCTGCCCTATTTTTATAACAATTTTTTCTAACCTGGATATGCTTAATGGTGTCAATGACACTCCCTTCTTTGATTCTCTTGATAAAAGCATAGCCAGCTCCATTGTCAGTGATTGTTAGTCCAAGTGCATCTTCTGTTTTTGTAATTTCAATTTCTTTAGGCCGGCCTGAAAAAGACATATATTAATAAGCAGTAACAACAATGCAGAATAATAGCAGCTTACTGCATTCACAAATCATACAGTTGAAGATGGCTTTCTTCTGGGTTGTTGCGCCATGTAGACTGGTACTGACATTTCTGAGGCCCTTGTTGCCTCCATCATCATGGCTCAACACCCTGATGATGGAGGTAGCAAGGAGAATCTTACCGACGTTTCAGAGGTCCTCGCTGTCTCCATCATCAGGGCTCTACCAGACTACATGGTGCAACAACCCATAAGACAGCCATCCTCATACTCACCACTGTGTAAACCTCAAATCCTACAATCATACAGTTGTGGAACACATGTCTTCACCCAGCAGTAGTTTGATATATGTAATATAAATCAGTTTCAATGTTCTAACTATATACTAAAGGAGAAGAAATGAAAGTCTTCAATCATGTATAACAACAACGCATATGTAGGATTTGAGGTTTTCACAGCGGTGAGTCTGAAGATTGCTGTCTTCTGGGTTATTGAATGTGATTCATCACCCTGAAGACCGAGGCAGTATGACTTCTGAAACTTCAGTGGAAATCTACCAGAATACATGGTGCTATAACCCAGAAGACAGCAATCTTCAACAACGCATATCTTCCTGCAACCAAAACATAGAGACCACTATTCTCTATGTTTTGGTTGGAGGAACTGCATAGAGCTACATAACTTACTTCAATTTCTGGTTCAGTGTCATAAGAAAGTTTAGGTTCATGTCACATTGTTAGAATTTGGAATTTTATACATCATACTGACATGCTCTTTAAGTTCAGTTGCCTAAAGACAGCAAACTCTGGTCAAACACATAAACTGCAAATGCCAGTACCATAAACAGTTATTTTAATAATAAAAGTTGGTGTTATGGTAGTGTAGACACAGTGTTGCATTGTTGTGTTTTTGTCTCAATATAAACCACTAACCCACAAGCAAAATCAAGGACAATTATATCAGAGGAAGGATACGGCTTTGTAAACTCTGAACCAATGATTATATTAAGCTCAAAGTGCTACTGCATGATAGAAACAAGCTGAAGGGAGAGTATGGACAATAATTTATGGGGAAAAAATAATTAAGCCTGTGTGGAAATCAATAACTTACAAGCAGAATGGACATAATTTGCAGAAGACAGGAACAGGATAAGGTAAATTAATATTAATTTGTTATAAAATAAAGAGAATAGAATGATTCTCTAAAGGTCTGTGACAATGACTGACTTGTTATACAAAAATCAGGTCACTGGAGTAGCCTACTGGTTGATGTGCCAGTTTAATAATAAAAGGATTCTGGCTTTGTTTCTGACTGCTGCCACTTATCTTAAAAATAAAATCAGAAGAAAAATATGTCAGTAGAATGACAACCAGTCACATGAAGATGGAAGAAGAGCCAACTTTAAAAGTCATGTATACATCTCAACAAATGGGCAGTATTTAATATAATTAATGTGTAAAGGGTTATGTAATTCATTAAAACTAAAGGAAATTTTGACTTCTGAATTAAGCTGTATTTGCTTTATTAAATAGAATATGATGGCAAAATTAAAACAGACTTCAGAAGAATACACCAAAAACTTTTGGATCAAGACATGATTTTTAAAAACTATTGTACATTTTTGTGCATTGCGTTTATTGATTTTTAATTTTCAGACTTCATCATAAACGCAATGCACAAAAATGTACAATAGTTTTTAAAAATGTATGAATTGATAAGCCTGAAGATGATGTGGTAAACATCGAAACATGTCGTCAAAATCAAAAGCGCTGTGATAGATGTAATATTATACGACACAGAAAAGCGCCATAAAATATAACATAATGCAATTTATATTGTAAATGTTATAAAAAAATTTAAACAACATTATTTTAAAACAAGTTTTGTGTATAGACTGGAAAAATAAATATATGTAGTAAAAATTAAAATATACAAAACTATAATTTTGCCAGTAGTTTAGTGTAAGTGTGAAACTTGGTCTCTGACATTAAGGGATGAACGTAGACTGACGGTATTTGAGAACAGGGTGCCTAGAAGAATATTTTTACCGAAGAAGGATGAATTACTAAGAGGCTGGAAAAAGTTGCATAATGAGGAAATTCATAACTTGTACTCCTCGCCAACAAGTCAATGAGAATGAGATGGGCAGGGAATTTAGCCCGCATGGGAAAGAAGAGGAATGCATACAGGTTTTTGGTGGGAAAACCAGAAGGAAAGAGACCACTAAGAAGACTTAGATGTAGGTGGGAGGATAATATTAAAATGGATCTAAGAGAAATAGGATGAGGTGGTGTGGACTGGATTCATCTGGCTCAGGATAGGGACCAGTGGTGGGCCCTTGTGAACATGGAAATGAACCTTTGAGTTCCATAAAATGTAGTGAATTTCTTCAGTGGGCTGCCCGATTGTTAGTTTCTCAGACGGACTCGGCTCCATGGAGCAAGTAAGTACTAATATTATGTCACACATTATTCATTATCTGATATGGAAACTGTGATCAGACCCAGGTCCTTTCAAATATTACGCTAGTACCTCTGAGTAATCTAATGGTTAATGTGCTAGCCTAGTATGCAAAATATCCAGAGTTCAATCCAAACTGATGCCATTAATATTACAAACAGTGTAACCAACTCCTTAGAAGTCAGCTTTAACAATGGTCAATTTTCAGCATAATATTGGTGTAATAAATCTGTCACTATCACTGTCACAAGCCTTTATGGAATCATTAATTTCTTATGTGATGAGACCGTGTTAAATAATACAGGAAGCATACCACAATGTCCCCCAACCCACCCCACGATCATCAATCATCAGGATACCTAAAACTACTGACAGTAATTCAAGTGTGTCACGTGCTTATGAAGAACTTCCTTTTCAATTGCAAGTATTACAATCTCATCACATTAATAGAGATCAATATTTTGTATCCAACATGATGAAATTACATGTTTATTCCAGACTTTTCAAATCCTTGTGTTTAATTCTTACACTATTCAGTGCATACAGAATTATTTTTATTGTATAGTTTAGCAATATATAAATATCATAAGAAGACTTCCCACCGGATTAAATATCATACTGGTAATTTCTTTAAATAATGACCTTATTACTCACCTTTTCTGTGTACAAATATAAAATCATCCAGTCCAATCTGACCTCCCAGAAGTTTGGTCATATCAACTTTGTGTGTGTTTAATGTGCAGAACAAGATCTGAAATTAGAAGTTAAAGGTAACATTGTTAAACAAACATAGTACCAGGGCTGAAGTAAGAAAATAGGGGTGTGGCCCATGCCGTGGGTTTTACGTGAATACGTCTGCGTTAGGGGGTAATATTTTCTTTGGGATATGGGAATGGAATGAAATGAAAGTAACGAAATGGATACATGGCTTTTATTCAGCATAACAAATATACAGAGTCTTGCTCGCGCCGTCGTTTGCCGCGCGCGCTGCGTCGACTTTCCGACGTTCCCGAAGCCGTCTCACTCGTTCCACCACGGACATGGCGGTACTGATCGATGGCTGATTAGACGCCCTTCCGATGAGATACGTTGCTTGTATTTCCTCTGGGCTTTTCGGTGAGTATGGGCCGACATCAGAAAGTTTAAATTTTTCACGACTTATTTTTGATTTGTCACCAACAAATATTTTACAAAGTTCACTTTTTATGGCTTAAATAGACAGATCTAGACTAGATCTTTCGTTTGACACCAAAATCAGCGCGCTAGCACATCGGAGTCGTGAGATATACTGCCCGGAAATTTTCGCCCACGCTCAAATTGGCCGCCAGTCGCCGCGGGCCCCCACCCGCGCCTCGCGCATGCGCGGCGCCAACTCAAGGTCATGCTCGCATCGTAGTCGTATACCCGATCAAACGAGACCACATTTATTTGAATCGTGTTATTAGTCACGAAGTTATAGTGTCGGAATGGATCACACTGCAAACGTTACATCGCCGTTTCCGTCCTGGTACCCCATATGTCGGTCTGATTTTAAAGACGTATTCACGTCAAAAAATATAAGTGAAAGCAGAAAGCCATCCCGCTACACGCCATGAGGCGCTTGGGGGGAGAGAAGGTATAGCTCCTACTCATTCTTGACTTCGGCACTAGATGGGGGTGAGTGGTCAGCATCACGCCCCGGCCGTGCTTTACCCCCGGGAAAGGACCCCGGTACCCATTGGATAGGAGGCTGGGTGGACCCCAGAGCCGGTCTGGACGCAGAGACTAGAGGAAAAATCCTGCCCCCGTCAGGGATGATAAATGTAAAGAGGAAAATTTGCAGGTCATGTAAACAACCTATAAAACACTAATGAGAAAATAAGATGAACTGAAGATGGCTGTCTTCAGACTCACCATCATAAAAACCTCAAATCCTACAAAAGATGAACTAAGTAACTAACTCCATGGATAAATCTTTCTTAAGCAGCCATCAGCAGCCAAAAACTTCCCTCCCTATTATGGAACCCAAGGGTTGATTTCAATATTCACAAAAGCCTGCTAACAGTATTTATTAAGAACTAGATTAATCCACGCTGCGAAAGCTTCACTTTATACATTCGATTAATCCAGTCCACACTCTACAAACCTATTTCCTTATGATCCATTTTAATATTAACCTCCCTTTACACCAAAGACTTCTGAGTTGTTCGTTCCCTTCAGGCTTTCCAACCAAAATTTCAGTGCATTTCTCATCCCCCGCCCCCCATGTATATTACATGCCCCAACCATCTCATCATCATGATTTTATCAAACAATGAAAATCTGAAATTATTTTAAAATGTACAGGTAAACCTCGATTTACGCCGGGGATGCGTTCCTGGACGAAGCGGCGTAAATCGAAACTCTTTTAATAATGTAAATCAATGGGAAGTCAATGACATGCTCAAAAATTGACTTTGCCTTATCCGTGATAGCAATTTCAGTCAACGGAATGTTTTTTCGATTCATGTCATCCAACCATAGCAACAGTAATTTCTCCGTTCTTTCTAAAAGTTTACTTCTGCTATAACTCACTTGCGTTGTACTTACTCTCGTAGCCTGTTGCATCGACTGTTTTATTTTTATGAATTTTTCATTATGGTAGTCACAGTGGAAGGAGGCAACTTCATACTTCTGCACACATTACGACGGGTATCACCACCTTCTATTCTACGAATTACGTCCATCTTATCTTCTAACGCAATAGACCTACGCAACTTTTTAGCAACACATTCACTTCTCTTACCAGACATGGTGGCTCTTCTACAATTTATAAATATAAAAACAGTTGCTACTGCAGAATAGTGGTCGAATAACAACACAAACACGTTTAGTGCACAGCTTTCAGCACATTCAATGTGTCAACAAGAAGCGAACTGAGCGCATTTTTCCTTACTCCCTTATCAGGCTGAACGCAAATGCCTCGCCGTGATGAGTGACCAACGCTCACTACTTCGCAATGAGTGCAGCGGCGACTGTATTTATAATTTTTATTCAAAATCAGCGATGTAAGAATTACGATTTAGTATAAGAATCTGTATGAGATACATTGTAAAACGTTATAAATAATAGTAAAATATATTTTTATCACTTTTTGACTTTCTGGTTTCAAAATCGGCGTTATTCTGAATCGGCGCAAATTGAGGTTTACCTGTAGTCACAAATGAGTGACAGCAATAGATAGCAATAGAAATTTTTGTAACACTATCATCTTGAAGAACAAAAAATAAATCTTACTGCTAAAATTAAATTACCTATAGGTGATAGGCCTAATTAAGAAGCAACTGTTATCATCAAATTTTCTAAGGAAAATTATTGAACAGGCTAATATATGAACCTGTAATTTGGTAGCATTCTTAATAAACTGTCATGAAGTATCAATATAAATAATCATCATTAATTAACAACCTAGATGCCTGCAAGTTTATAAGAAAAAGTGAATGTGGCCCCAGATTTCTGAACAGATAAAACCCTCTGATGTGGATCCTACATCACTTTGAACCTATTTAGCTTGAAGTTTATTACAAATGTGGATTAGGACCAGTAATATTCTTGCAGTCACTAATGTATAGAACCTACATGCATTTCTGAATACAACTAATCTGAGTATTTTCAATGGGTGTAAGATCTCTTTGTTCCTTATAACATGCAGGAGACTTTATAATTAACAAATTGCTTTCAATTAAGTGATACTGCAGCCTTGCCTCATAATTCCCCACAAAATTCCTTTACACTAAACATCCCTTACACCACCTTTATCATTCTACAACATAAACTTAACAATCCTAATTCTCATACATCTAGAAATTACCAAAAAGTCATGAACACATGTCATTTTTGGAGTATGTATATGTTCAAAGAATGCATTATCTTACAAACACAATTTAGGTTATCTCCTGTCTTCAACCTATTGTTTCACAACTAAGAATGTATGACAAAAGGTATGATTCAAAGTTCTCATGGCAACATGTATAAAGATGGCGGCATTCCAAAATGTTGTGCCATGTAGTCAGGTAGATACTGACCACTATGATGATGGAAGCAGAGAATTCCTCTGAAATGTTGTTCAATATCTACCAGACCACACAGCAAAACAGCCATTTTCAACAAAAGGTCTGCTATTTTAACTGGTCCTCCGTATATTGTTATCTTTACCTTTACACATATAAAGCATAAAACAAACTACTGAATGTGTAAATACTGACTGGAAATTTAATAGATAAGATTGTCTCAAGAGAACCTTTGTTCAGAAGCAATTTCGCTAACTAGGTCGTCTGTCTGGTTGTCTGCCAAGTAAATAAGTATTTTTCAGGCAAAGTGCATGAAACCCAAGAATTATGTATATATACCTCATGTTCCTTTGATCAACAGAAGCTGGTGTTAAAATTCAGGGGTAAAAAATAAAATCTTGTAATAAATTTTACAAATTAATTCAACCCAATACTTTACGTTCCTGCTTCATATTAAGGTCTCTGATTCAAATATAAACCTGGAGACAGACTGTTCTCAGGTTATTCATGTTTTTCCTCAGTCCCTCCATGAAGATGGTAGGACAGTACCTTAAATGAGTTCATGACCACTTCCATCCACATGCTTTTCAATTCATTATTCATTAATCATCATATCATACACAGTCTGAGCTACTACCAAGTTTGTTAAATAAACAAACAACAAACTCCAGGGGTTTCTAGGAGACAGATTGTTCAAATAAAATAATCCACAAAGAACATAAGAATTGAAAGATGCAACTGAAACAGAAATTCAGCCAATACTGACAGAGGCACAGCTCAGAATTCAGAAAACCTTTGTTGTTTATTTGTGTTAAGTGAGGAAACAAATTCACCAAATTTATATCATTTCATTTCAGAAGCTTCAGCCACTTTAAGATAATCAATCATATTTAGTGGCAGGGACCAAATGATTTAAAGGTTACATTAACATGCAATGAATTTCATAGTTTAACATAATATAATGTTACATCATGATTATAATTTACTTAGATTAATATGCATGCTAATTAAGCATTAAATTATAATAAAAACCTGAGGTGCATATTCTGCCAGCTTACTATACAAGATGGAATGCACTTAGACACAGCCATCCTCATACAGTTGTTGAAATATTTACTTATTTTAGTATTTTCATAGTTGAAAATCCATATTTGTTCAGATAAATAGGAGCAAAACAAATCTGAGATTTAAGGTTGTTGCGGTAGTGAAGATATAAATTACAGACTTCTGGGTTATGATCTTGTGTAGTACTGCAGGTGGTTAGCAATGTTGTGGAGGAATGAGGTGACATGTTCCTCCAAAACTCTGATAACCAGTTGCAAGACTGCATGGTGTCACATTCCAGAAGTCCACAACTGACTGATTCAATAAATGTATTAAATCAGAATAAGAGTTTGAACATTTTCAACAGCTACAAAAACCAGGAATTGGGCTGTGAAAATGATTACCTCACTGATATAACTACAAATAAATTATTTCATTTTCTATTAATTTTGTTTGAAGATATAAAAATTCTAGAGACAATGCTTCTTATACCAAGGTCTTAAAAATTTCCTTTCAGAACTGTTAAAATGTTTGCTCTCAAATCTGTCGTAAGAACTATTTACACACTGATTTATCACAAAGATAACTTATGCACGTAGGCTACTTTTATCTAATGCTGGCAACACTCACAGGTAAGATTATGGCCATAAGCTATGCTGCAGAATCAATAACATGAATA